CACGCCTGCTGCTGAGGGTTCGTGATTCATCCAGAAGAACCTTTGTGTTTCTCTTAGTCCCACCGGCCTTCCCTGAGCCATGGAGAAGGTCGTTTTTCTTGGTCTACCTGTAGCTTCGTAGTGCACCTGGATTACAATTTCCAACACTAATATCAGGAAAGACGCATAATGGGCAGTTACGTCAACTGTATTCTTTACCTAAGGCTGTTCCCGAAAGAATTGAACGGGGTGCTTGTCTGTGCTGCCGCTGCAGGGCCTGACGATCGTCCCCCGTCTCACAGGCTCTCGCCCCGCAGAGCTGGTGTTCTGTTGGCCGGTACACACTGGCGCCCTGCGCTCGGCCTGCCACCTGGCCTGCAGGGCTCAGGCCATCTCCGGGCCAGCCATCAACTCTGACCACGCCCGTGTGTGCAGTTGGGCACGGTTAATGACATTCTGGGTGTTTTCTGTGTCCCTTGCACGGAGGCTCCTGGGCCTCCAGACCCAGGGGACTGGGAAGGGGGGTGCAGGGAAGAAGCCCCCGTGGGCAGAACGCTGTCCCCATTCACGATGACTTCCCCCGCTGGCTCCACGGTAACGACCTGGCCCAAACGGCGAGCTGTGCACACCCCGCGTCCCCCGCAGGGGCCGGCCCGCGGGCCCCTCCTTTGCCCAGGACTCTGCTCTTGGAGAATTCAGGTACCGAGGCCTCAGCCCTCGGCCGGGTCAGCTGGGGGCGGTCAGCAGGAGGTGACTCAGGCTCGGCTTTTCTCCAAAGCTCAGGTGTTCGCAGACCTGCTGATAAGTCACGATGCTCTCGCCCCCCTCGAGGCAAGGACGAAGCTGTTCCCTCAACACTGACGACCTCTGGGGCGGCCCAGGCTTGTCCCCAGGAAGACGGGACAGCTGCTTCCTCTCCTCCGAAAGGTCAGTGTGAGGGGAGAAGCCCCGCTGTGCGGATCGCGGCCAGGTTTTTTAATTTCTTGGGTTATATAGGACCATTGTCCTCTGTCAGAGATGGGACGACGCCCGTGTGCCGTGCCGTCCTCGTGTCCACGGAGAGCGAAGAGTCACCGTCATCCTCTGACAGAGCAAAAGCCCTCGCTGGAAGTGACGCAGTCGCCGAGCACACGACTCTGGCTGGAGGTCGGGCCGTGGTCAGCGCGGCTTCTCTGGGCTCCGGACGCCGAAAGCACCTGGAAACCGTTCAGCTCCCTTCGTCCTGTGCGACTCTCTTCACGTCATCCGGGTCACCTGGCTGCTGCTTCAAAGGCGCGTGCTCGCGCTCTGCCTCAGGGAACTCGGCTGGGAAGGAGACCGCGTCCTGAGCCTCACGAATGACAGCCGGAAAGCTCACGATCCCTCGGAGCCGTGGGCAGAACGGCGCCTGTGAAAGAGCCCAGCGTCCCCGGAGCCCAGCGTCCCCGGAGCCCAGCGTCCCCGGAGCCCAGCGTCCCCGCACGGGAACCGCCCAGGACAGATGCCCCCCCACTGCCGAGTTTCCCACAAGTCACTGAGGCATGTCGCTCTCGGGCCAGCAAATGTGCCTTTTTGTCTTCCAGAACCCGGGAAGCACCCCATCAGCCGCGGCCTGCATCCTGGGCCGCTGAGAACCTGCCTGGGGAGCTGTGCCTGGGGGACCCAGCACAGACAGAGGGGACTGGAGCAGGCCACTGCCAGGAAGATCCCGAGACAAGCGAAGCCGAAATGAGCCAACTGTCACAATCTGCGCCCCATCGAGCCATGACCCGCTGGACGTCGAATCTGCCCATCCCGCAGTGATGCTGTTCTGTGCCGAGGCCCGGGGCCGTCCGCCATGAGCGACTCATGCCCCCGCGTGCAGGAACGTTCTGTCCACCCCGGCTCCTGGGCCCAGACCCCCTAACCCCCAGCTCCCCGTCCACACACTCCTCTGCGCCCCCCTCTCTCCTCTGCTCGCTTCCCATCCATCTCCCCTCCTTACCCCTCCCCCGCCCGTCTCCTCCTCAGACACGCACACACACACACACGCGCACACCAGCACCGCGCGCACCAGCACCGCTCTATGCAAACAAGGAGGCAATTAAAAATATCAGATCTGACATCTGTTCGATGGCTGTTAAGGGTCGGTGGCTGTGAGAAACGGAAGAGAAGCTCTGCTTCCGGCCTCCTCCCAGGAGCACGCACATGTATGACACACATGTGCACATGCGTGCAGACGTGCACATGTACACATCGTGAATGTGTGCACAATACACGTGTGTACTTGCATGCATGTGCATTGCATTTGCACATGTATGCACACAGGTGTAACCTGCATGTGTGCACATACATGCACCCACACATGCATGCGCATCTGCATGCACACATGCATAGCCACCCATGCATATACACAGGTATGTGCACGTGTGTGCTCGTGCATGCATATATACATGTACACGTGCACACACATGCATGACACTTATACATGCATGCACGCACATAAAACATAATAGTTGTTAAACTATTCACTAATCTTTATACCTTTTACTGTAAAATGGAAAAGGTTTTCTCATCATTTCTTATGAGACCTAGTTTCATTCTTTTAAGCACTGTGACTGGGACTGTCACAGTTTCCAACACTTTTCAACAAAACGCACCGCAGCATGCAAATAAGGTCCAGCTAACGTTAAAGAAATGTTTTATTTCGTCGCTTATGCTAACTACAGTCTTCGGCACCCACAACGAGCTGCATCCGATACCAGTGGTGCCATCTCTGTGACTGCGCTCGGCGGCCCCTCCCTCCCCAAGTCCCTAAGCTCCCCCTCCGGGCTCCTGCACGGCAGGGAGAGCGCCTCCCTGGTCCACCGCAGTGTCGGCTCCGTGGGGACCCAGTCCCCTCACAGCCCACGGTCGCTGGGTCCTGGGTGCTCCACAGACAGCACCCGAGGGAGGAGGAGAAGCGTCCCCGATAGTTCTTCAAGTCGTTTTCTGGGAGATGAGTGTGGCTCAGGAAAGACGAAGGGACAGGAGGCATGGAGCCTCCAGCACGACCGCACGTCAGCTTCCGGACACCGCACCCTTCGGCGGCTGTCGCACAGGGGACCAGAGGCCGGAGCGAACCTGGCTGTGCCAGCGTGTGGTCGGCGGCTCGGGGGGCTCAGGGGCCAGGAGACATGTTTTTTGGGTTCTGAGCCCCTTCAGGGGGTGCCAGGCGGATGGGGACGGAGTGCGAGTCGCCGACATCCGTACTCGCACAGAGCTACGGCCGTTCTGCTGCGGTTTCACCGTCTCTGAGGAGGAACCGGTGGCCACGATGTAACGGTTCCCCAGAGAAAGTTGTTAACTCCCCCGTGAGCCCAAGGGCGGCGGTTGCTCCCCTCTTCCCCGGGCCCCTGGGGTGGCGACATGACCACAGATGGGAGGGGCCTGACCCGAGGGGGACCCCACGCGTCTGTCCCCGTCTTCCTCCTCGGGGAACTCGGACTCACACGGGCTTCTCCAGAGGAAGCACCTGACACCCCGCTTCACATACGCTTCACATTTTCAGGGCAGGCTATTTTGCAAGTCAGGACTGATGTGGCCCTTACTCAGACAACGTCTGTGTAATCTGTGACATCAGGAAGTGGAATGAGATTATGGGACAGTATGATCAGGGGAGAGGAGAGTGTGGCCAGACGTCCTGTCCCACCGATATTAGACATGACATCTTAAAAAGCCTTGTTTTCCCTGGCCCACCCAAAAGCCACATCTTCCATCTGGACAACTATCACACAGAACCCCAAACACACGTCTCCCGGCCTCGTCGAACCTCCGTCTGCACCCTGATGCCGTGTGGGGTCACCAAGGAACGGAAGTGTCACAGGCACCGGCATGCGAGGACAACCAAGAACAGAAGCAGAATGAGTGGTGAGCGGTGACGTGGCCGGCACGCTGTTTACCTTTTTCTTCGATGCTTCCGACTTCTTTGACATGTTCTTCAGCTTCTTGTGCAGATGATTAAGGACCTGAAAAACACGAAGGAATAAAGCTGGGCTGCCTCACGTTCTGCAACTCATCGTCTGTGTCGCAATGACAGTTCTTGACATCCCGAAATGGCAATGCCGGTACCCACCAGATCATTCCAACCAAAATACACACGAGGCGATAAAGTGACCACGAACGTGAGTTGCCAGCCACACCCGCTTTCCAGCGCTTAGGAACATGGGGGCGCGTTCTCCGTCAGAGGTCTGTTTGCGTCACGTCCGCGGGGCGGACAGCTCTGCGGCTTTGTCCAGAAAGAGCCGCATGGCTACCCGCCCTTGCTGGCCTCCCTTCCACCTTGACTCCCCCCAGAGGCTACATGTCAGGAATCCTCAGGTCCCTCTATGCACAGACACGACGTGAAATCCCAGACACGCGTGGCAGCCAGAGGCGGGTGGGCAAATGCAGACGGCACACTCATGATCCTCCCCCCGCCAGCGCTCACTTCAGCGCGGTCCTGTGTCCCCCTTGGGGCTGTGGCCCTGCCAGTCCCCTTAAGGCAAACTTCTCCCTATCAGGCCCCTGTCACTTTTTTCCACCCCGGCCCACTGTGCTGGGCTTTTAGACAAGCTACCCTCAGGGGTCCAGCCTCGCTCGGGATTTAGAGACCATGCAGCAAGTCGTGACAGTCCACGCCCCCGTCAGGCATGTCCTCACGAGACACCGGCTTCGCTCATCAGAGGAACTGCTCCGCGTCCCCTGCCAGTGTGACAGTCAGGAGAAACCCACGGGTGAACATGTGGGTCATGCAGCCTGGGCGGTCACGGCAGGGCCAAGGCGGCCGTGTGCACCCAGGCTGCGTGGGAATCACTTTGCGCGCCCTCTGAGTGAGATCTAAGGGAAATCCGCCTCTGAGGTCTGAGGGCTTTGGCTGCCCATCAGCCGCTGGCTGAGTCCCTCCAAGAACGGGAAGCCGGGCCCCAGGCACCCCTGGGCTTCCCTCCAGCACGGCAGCAGGAAACCATTAATCACACTGGACTCGTTGCAGAAGCTTGGTGTGGCCAGTCACAGCCCACCTGAGACACCATGGGGCTGGCCTGCCACCCCGAGGAGCCCTCGCACTGAAGCAGCCATGGCTGGGGTGTGATCCCAGCGCTGCTAAACACGTGGTCACTTCCGACGTGGTCCAGCATCGTCCGGGAGACAAGGCTTTCACGCGTTACGGCAGCATTTGGGGCCACCCTGGATGCAAGGACGATGGGTCACATCACTGTCCTGCCAGCAGCAGTCAAAGGGCAGGCAGGATGAAAGAGGAGCTTCCACGGGGGCGAACGAGAAGGTCTCCCAGAGGGAGAGGGAGAGCTGGAGGCGGGGCCTGCACGACCCGCCTGCCAGGGGGCCTCAGGGGCAGCTTTTCCAGCAGGAGACCACGGAGGACACGATCACCCAATCACCGATCACCGAGGACAAAGGACAAGACAGAGCAGAGGCCGCAAAACAAAGTCAGAGGGAGCCGAACGGGAAAGGGGAGTGGTAGCTGTATTGTGATGCAGCCGGGGGTCCGCCCACGCCCTCCAGGGGTCCGCCCACGCCCTGAGCCAGGGGTCCGCCTACGCCCTGAGCCAGGGGTCCGCCCACGCCCTGAGCCAGGGGTCCGCCCACGCCCTCCAGGGGTCCGCCTACGCCATGAGCCAGGGGTCCGCCCACGCCTTCAGCAAGCGCATCCCCCCTCAGTACCTTCACAGCACCTACAGAGTGCCCCTGAGTGCTTCGTGGAGAAAACTCCCGGGAATATTTTTCTTAGCTGTTTCGCGTCAAGACCCCACACTATGTGCGTTGCTACACTGTGATGCATGCTGATGAAAGTCGTGTCACCAAAGGAGAAAGAACGTAGGGATCGTGATGGGTTATGATCACATTCCTTTACGACAATGACGACGGCATGGTGGCATTTCTCCACCGGTCTGTGCATGTCGGAGAGTGTTTAGGATGCACACGCTCGAACCCGAGCCGAGGTTATCATGGGCGCCAGATCCTCTGGGGATGCGGCAGAACCTGCCAGGCCGAGCCTTTGGAGAGCGATGCTTGTCCTGAACCTAACGTTCAAGCAGACTCCTTAACTGGGGAGCTCGACGGCTGAACTAAAGAAAAACAGCTCGAACTTACTTTTTAGCTCCATCTAGTAAAAATAGATTTGCCTATATTACCTTGAATTCAAAAGAAATTTCCCGTTATGTTTCAAAGCAAATTATTAAAATATCACAATGATCATGTAGTTACTGAATTAAAAAATCTTTCAAACCTTGCTCTATGTGTGCCTTGTAAATTCTCCAATGATAGAAATGTAGCCTGATTTATTCCCGAGCGCTTAGCTTGCCATTTCCATTAAGAAGAAGAAAGGCTTGGGGAGATGAAGAAAAGGAAGGCTTCGCTTCTAATCCCTATAATTATGCGTCAAGACACAAAGGTTTTAGGACTCCCTCTAGTCCCAAGCTGTGTGTCACCAAGGTCGTCACCAGGCGTCCCCTCTGTGAGGGGTGGGGGTCCCTGCAGCGGGACCCTCCCGAAACACTTTCCAGCCCCCTGTCTGGGCAAGTTCCCCCACCGCCTCCAAACCCTTTTTCCTTATCAATGAAACGGGTGGCGGCTCCAGCCACAGGGTCGCCAAGCGGGTTGAAAGGAACAGTGCACGCACGCGTCCGGCCACTGTGCCGTGCGGGCCCAGCCCTTGCATTAACAGAAGACGGGTGGGCAAACCAGCCATCTACCAGGTAGCTGAGCTACAGTGACTTCCCAAAGCCCCCACGCCCTCGATGCAGACCATCTTTCAGAAGCACCCAAAACTGTTACCCTTCGGAACAGACAGAGATCTGCAAGGTTGGTAGGGGGTGGGGACAACCCGGGGTGGCTCACACTGAACGCTGTGGCGGGAAACACGTTCTGAGTGGGGCGGAAGAGACCGTTCTGCGTCCCCTGGCTGCTGTGGTGCCACAGCCACAGCCTTACCGGAGACAGAACGGGAGACGGACAGGCGGAGATGACACGGTGGACGGCCCAGAATGTGGCCCCAAGCACGGTTCCCGGATGGTGCTGGCGCCCGTGCGCGGGGGACACTGGCGCTCGCCCCACGCGCCACAGCCCAGGGATCGGTGGTCAGGCATCTGCTCTTTTTTTCTCAACATGAACGACTGTGTGAAAAGCTTAAGACCTTCTGGTCAGTGTGAAGCCCCGTGTCCTCTCAGAGGAGGTGAGCTCCGCGGGACGGGCAGCGGAAGGACACGTGTGAGCCCCGGAGCAGGAAGCCAGACCCCATGGGTCTCTCCAGAGCCAGGCACTTTGACCCACCACCTGAATCACTTATCCTGCTGACACGACCATCCCAGAGGGCACGAAAACGGGGACCGGCCGCTGGAAGCCATCCACCACAGTCCTCTGGACATTCCCAGAGGACTGAGCCCCTTGAGGGTTTAGGGCTAAACTTCTGTGTAAAATAAAATGTGAAGCTGTGTGTCCGGGAGCAGTGGCTTCACAGAGCCAGGTCCTCACGAGCCAGGTCCCTGCAGAGCCTCCCTGTGGCCCCCTGGGGGGAGGTCCCGCTAGAGTCAACCGTCGCCCCTGAGTGCTGGCAGGCTGCGGCAGGGGCCAGCGCTCCCCGCCCCCTACAATCCCGCTGCAGGCCCCTGGGGTTTGAGCCGCTAAGACTGGGGGGAGGGAGGGGGTTTCCTGGACTGAGGAGTGGGCGCCGAGCGGGAGCCTACTTCCCGGACGATCTGGGGGCGGGAGGGAGGTGGGAGGCCCTGCGACCTACCGAGAGGGGAGGCGGCCGATCAGGCAGTGAACTGCAAACTTTCCCGGGGTCCCCCCAACTCCAGGTAACTTTCCCAGCAACACCAAACCCGCAAGCCCAGCGGAGGCCGGGGCACACCGCGCAGGACGCCGGTCCCCACGCAGATCCGCGCGGGAAAGGACGGGGCAAAAGAGCGGGGGCTGCCGCGGGGCTCAGAATGGGGCGCGGGGACACACGGAGACGCACGGGGCCCCGGCGCCCGCCCCGCGCGCCCCGCGCCCACCTTGGCATAGCAGAAGCAGATGAGCAGAAGCGGCAGCAGGTAGCCGAAGACGAAGGTGCACAGCACGTAGGCCTTCTTGTGGCGCTGGTCCGGCCACTGCTCCCAGCAGAAGGTCTGGTTGCTGGCGTCGCGGTGGAAGAGGCGCTGGTGGTAGGCCACGGGCGAGGCCATGGCGACAGACAGCGCCCAGATGCAGCCCACGCCCAGCAGCGCGTTGCGGGACACCCGCAGGGAGGAGGAGCGGCGCGAGTGCACGATGGCCACGTAGCGGTCCACCGACATCGCGGCCAGGGTGAAGATGCTGACCAGCATGGACACGGTGAAGAAGTAGTGGGTGAACTTGCAGATGAAGGCGCCCAGCACCCAGGTGGGCAGCGCGTACACGGTGGCCTGGAAGGGGATGCAGAAGAGCAGGTAGGCCAGGTCGGCGATGCTCAGGTTGAGGATGAACAGGTTGGTGGTGCTGCGCCGCTTGCCCGGCCCGCTGCGCGCCAGCACGGTGATCACCAGGCAGTTGCCCAGCACGCCGAGCGCGAAGATCAGGCCGAACACCGCCAGCGTGACGAAGTTCTCCACGCCCAGGCCGGCGAGCGGCGGCGGCTCCGCGGCGGGGGGCTCGGGCCCGCTCGCGTTCCCCTCGCTGAGGTTCGCGGCCACCAGCTCCATGGCCCACGGGGGCGCCCGGGGCGCTCAGGGCGAGGGTGCGCGCCTGGGACAGAGGGCGCCAGACCCAGCCTGAGCCTCCCGGTGGGCCGTGCCGAGCGGCACCGTCTCTG